ATTATTCAAAGAAACTATTTGCTCCAAATGTAGTGATATCACTTCTCCTTCAGTTCTTCAAACTTGAAGGTCTTTGATTAATAAGCATAAACTTCTGTGAAAACTTCATAAAATGAATTACTTTTTTGGACTAATAAAATAATTTTTTGTAGGCCCTTGGCTTTATTCTCCTTTGGGTTTGGGGAACTCAGTAAAGTATACATTACAAAGTCTGTGCAAGGAAGTAAGTACTAACAGAAGTGAATACTATTCCCTCATTACTGCACAGGCATAACTAAAGAATAAAAACTGTGTTTTCTGTAAAAAAAAGGGCTCTGAGAAAAGGAAATTCATAGTGAAAATTCCAAGATGTTCATGGTTAATGTTCACTCAGTAATGAAGTGCTATCATGTGGTACAGAGTTTTATTTTAGTGGCAGGAATTTTTGTAATTACGTAAATGACTTTACTCCTGTATTTGGTCTTTAAAAATTGAATATACAGGCATATATTCTTTACAGAATTATGTAAGTAAAATTATAGCCATAATCACATTTAACAATTGAAATGATTTTTAACATCTGGATTATTAATATAAAATAATTTCCTGTATCTCATGTTTAGTTAAAACACTGTGTTATTTGAGGGTAAAAATTTTTTTTGTTAATTTTCCCAAATCCCTTCCAGATGATATGTCACACACTGGCTTTTCTGGCCACAGCACAATACTCAGCTGATTATCTACAGAAAACAGTCTACAACTCTATAATTATTCCTGTGCCACCTTCCTGGTTCTAACTGAAAGTACAGACTATCAGACAGCCATACTTATGGTTGGAATAATTTCTCCTGTTACATTATTCTCACACTTGCCCACCCCAAAACTTGAACACTTTTCTGCCCATTGACATAATTTCAATACATCTTCCAATTGTAGTTTATTATTCATAACTCAGAAATATTCAACATTATTTGGAATAATATTTGGGAAAGACAGTATGCCTAATCACCTCCAGAATACTCACAAAAATTAAATAAGCTATCAACATTTTTTGAACTTTTCTTACAACGAAGATTGCTAAAAATTAAATAATGTTCCTATACTTTGGCCAGTTTAAAAATAAATCAGTTAGATTCCTTGTTGGAAAGTCTATATGCCAACACTTCAATTTTTACTATACCTCTTCAACGAACAAAATATACCCCATACTTGATGACAACCAACAATAACAAGCAGAAGAAAAGATATCTGGAAAGAAAGACAGAGTTTGTAACAGTGAACTTTTGAATGCAAAAAATTTCAGTGCAACATATTTTTGCACTATTAATACTATTGCAGTCATGTGCTGCATGACATTTCACTGATGGTCCCATAAAGTTATAATATTTTTACTGTACCCTTTCTACGTCTAGACATGTTTACATATGCAAATACCATTGTGTTACAACCGCCTATGGTAGCCAGTACAGTAATATGCTATACAGGTTTGTAACCTAGGAGCAATAGGCCATACCATACAGGTATGTAGTAGGCCGTACCATGTAGATTTATGTAAGTACATGCATAATAACAAACTCACTCAACACATTTCTCAGAATGTATCTCTGTCATTAAGCGATGCGTGACTGTGTATTTTATGTCTAATTCAAGCCAAATACAATTTTTTAATGTTGTATTTGTAATGTGAAATGAAGACGTGGCGGGGCACTGTGGCTCATGCCTGTAATCCTATAACTTTGGGAGACTGAGGTAGGCAGATCACTTGAGCCCAGAAGTTCAACACCAGCCTGGGAAAAATGGTAAGACCCTGTCTCTACAAAAAAATTTAAAAATTACCCGGTGTGGTGGTGTGTGCCCGTAGTCCTAGCTACTTGGGAGGCTGAAGTGGGAGGATCACTTGAGCCTTGGAGGCAGAGGCTGCAGTAAGCCAAGATTACATCACTGCACTCCAGCCTGAGCAACAGAGTGAGATTCTGTCTCAAACAAAGAAAAAAGAAATGAAGTCTTGTTTCCTTCATTGAGTAAATGTTCACTGAAAACTCACTATGTGCCAAGCATGTTCTCAGTATGGGGGATTCACAGGTGATAAAGACAAACATGGTTCCTACTTTTCCATTATTATGAAGACTAAATTTTTTAAAAATTTATTTTGCAGATGTGATCAAATGAAATCGATGCTTTATCTTGAATCATTTACATTCAAAAATACTTAATCCTGCAATAAAATGTTAAAAAGTATCAGATGTTACAGAGTTAGGGTTGAAAATGAGCTCATCAATTCCAAGATGCACATTATTTTACATTTTGACATCTCTAAAATCAGTCACATCTTACAATATGATCAGACTAGACAGCAATGGAGATGGAGTTGGCACTGCCTATATATGCATCAAAACTTCAAAACTCAGAATGAGCACAAGGGGCTTGGAAGAAAATCCCAGGTTCAATAGTAAAGGCACCATTGTAAGGATTTTTTTTTTTTTTTTTTTTTTTTTTTGAGTAGAGATGAGATATTGCTATGCTGACTGACCAGGCTGGTCTCAAACTCCTGGCCTCAAGCAATCCTCCCATCTGGGCCTCCCAAAGTGGTGGGATTACAGGCGTGAGGCACCACATCCAGCCTTAAGGATTTTTGATGATTCAAGGTTCAATAAAACATAACAGTTGAAAGTTTTCATTTATTATAGGTGAGGAAAATGAAATTTAGAGTGGTCACATGACTTGCCCTAATTCACAAAGCTGGAGAGGTAGAATAGAGTCCAGGTCGGTTTTCTACAGTCATTCACTCTTCTACCAGTGTACAGTTATATGGAGGAAAAGGGGTGTCATACAAAATAAGTAGGTAAGAAGATGGCTCTAGTTTTGTAACCATAAGCAAGGAACTTAATCCGTCCTTGCCTCAGTTTCTCCATCTATTAAAACAGGGATTTAACAAACCTAACTCACAGTACTGTTGTAAGCATTAAATAAGATATGTCTGGCAATTGTCACAAAGATTGGCATATGTTAAGTACTCCATAAATGTCAATTATTTGAGATCAGACTTTACATTTATTATACACTAAGTCAAGCCCACATATAGTTGTTTGTCTAAAGCACTAGAAAACTAAATAAACTGGTCAAATGTTTGAAGTGATAAATACAACGAAAATTTCCACCTTAACCATGTTTTGTCCAGGTACTGTGCCAAGAACCCAGTAGACCTACCTGCAAGAAACCAAACAAAAAGCAAGATTCCACGCTGGCATGATGATCAAATTACGTACTTCAATATGTGTGAATGCATTTATAAGCACAATCTCAATACATAAACAGGGAACAAAATATTTAATGTATAAACAGATCATTTCTTTTTGCTTTATTTAAAATACTATATCAGAATCACCCGAGGAACTTGATAAAATTTTTTTTAAAAACTATTATAACTACGTATATTAAGCCTGGTTAAAACCACAAGTTTTAGAGGTTTAAGCCTTACTAGCTCAGCTCTTCTAATTTTGAGAGTTTCAGTGAAAATCTAAATTATAACACAGCATGTGGAGTAAACTTGCTTTAAATATTAGCTTCTACATTGTTTCTATAAAAATAGTAATCTTCTGTCTTTTAATATCAACTCATCACATAATAAGTATTTCCGTTAAATCAAAATTTCAGTTGAAATCTTCAATCTAAAAAATACACAGTTACGTGCTTAAAAAGTAATTTTAACCACTAGGAAATGTTAATGATTAACTCACATTTGTTTCTGTTTCACTCCATGACAAAACCTACAGGACACCCTGCAGAGAGGAAAACTCACATTAATATATCCAGAATTTTATTTTCAGAAGCTTCTGGTAATGAAAACTTTATTATGAGGTGTCTTCATGTTACCACCGCGCAGTAGCAAAGTTAAAATATTCTAAAGATTAGTCTATTTTCTCATACTGGTTTTTTTTCTAATGCTTTTGCTAACATGTTATCTAAATTTAAACCTTAAAACGATCACATGACCCAATATGCGAACTCTGCCTATTAATTCTAAAACTTTTAATAACAGTTTGCTTATGTTTGAGACTTAAAAAAAAACAAAACAACATACTGCACTATGCCCATCCTAGATATTTTCTAGGATCAAAGTCTATCTGGAGCAGGGCAGGCTGTGGTTGAGGGTGGTTGGGTCAGCAGGGAAGAGCCTTATGATCAGCTCTGAGCGCCTCCACGGTGAGGAGCACCCAGAATTAAGAGAGACCAGGCACCAAAGGGTGGGGTAACTCAAGGTTCCATTTAGAAGACTCCAGCCTCAGCCGCCCGTGACTCCTCGACGAGCCCCGCCTCTCTAGGTTCCAGCATCCGGCCCGCCCCTTCCTCCCAGGCTACCACGGTATGGCCCGCCGAGCTCCCGGGCCGCGGGAAGTGACGGAAACAAAAACTTGGTACACAAAGAAGGGCTGGGTCAGAAGTGAGGCCCCACCCTGCCAAGAAGGACGAGTTTTCTAGAAAAACTTAGCGGCAAGTTAACGGGAAGCGCGACAACAGAGTTCCTAGGATTGTGGGGGGCACCCTGCCGCCAGAAAAGCTCATCCTTTGTCCTTTGAGAGGCCTCCTTGAAGCCGAAGGCTCTAAGTGCCCCTGGGCAACCCTTGACCCGATCTCCATTTCGGGCCCTCACTGATGGCAGCCATGACAGTTGCATCGGAAATATCGAATAGCAGCGGCCAGAGTCTCCCGGAAGTGACGCAACGCGGAGGGATCCGCGTTCGGCCGAGGGAGACCGAAGTGAACTGGTTCCCGGAAGCGGCTGCAGCTGGGCAGCTGGTGGCGGGGCGGAGGAAGGTTGGGGAGAGAGGTTGTGGGTCTTACAACCAACCCCAACGCGTTTTACGTGTCGGGCGGGCATTGTGCTGAACACCTGATTGGCAAGCCATTTAATCCCTTCCTTACTACAATCCCAGCAGTCAGGAATTTATTACTTCCATTTTACATATGGGGAAACTAAGGCTAAGAGAGGGCGAGTAAATTTGTCCGAGATCGTATAGCTGGTACTTGGTGGACGTGGTGTAACTCAGACACCACATTCTCTGTGGTGACTCCCTTTTGTAAAACCATAGCTGCTGGCCCTTGGCATCCTGGTAAGCTCCTTTAAGTTAGGCACTCTGTGGCCCAGAGAGGGGCCAACCTGTAGCCAGTGTGCTCTTTATGGTGAACACAAGGCCGAACGGTGTGCCTGGGTCCCCTTGGCTGAACCTCAGATTTCACTTGGTCTCTGACACCTCACCTTTGCAGCACTGTCCCTGTGTTTGCAGCGCTGGTTACCTGAGGAAACTGTCAGTGATTGCTAGGCTCTGGGGAGCATTTTAACTCTGATTAGGCCCTTTTAAATCCAGGACTAAGACAGTTGGAGGCCTCTATCATCAGATACTCTTGCTGGCCTTAACAGGGGGCCAAGGATCATAATCTTGGACTTTCCACCAGATCAAGTGTTTGTTTGGCTTCTGTTTCTTTAGAATATGACTGAAAACCAATCTATTGTTTAATCTTCTTTCTGCGTTAACCAGTACTCAAAGTGTGAATAGCCACTAAGGCTATGTTTTTGTAAAAACAAATTATGCATAGAAAAAACACAGGAAATACATCAAAATTAACAGTGATAGTGTTTGAATAGTGGGTGATTTTTTTCTCTCTGCTTTCTCGGTTGCGTATCTGCTATAATAACCTTTTTAAAATAGAAAAATAAGCAAACTGGCTATGGTAAAAACATTTTTAATTGCCTGCCATTGTAATGAAGGCAAAGGCATGTTGTCATATTTTGCCAAATGACCGTCCTTGATACAAATCACATAGGGAAATTCTGTTTGACTAGAAAAGCATTGGATTTTTGTGAGTTGGTGTATTCTCAAAATTTTTGATGTTTTGTTTTGGTTCTATAATCCTCACAGGAAAAGTAAAAAAGCAAATTAATGTTTTTCACACACTTTCGTATGAGAATATGCCACAACCAAAAGTCATATCTAAAACAAAGTTTCAGAGGGCATGGAATGTGGGGCCTTTGGGTACTTAAAATGCTGGAGAACAAGTATAAAAAGCTATTTTTATTCTGGCTGCTTTGGGGTACAGTTTTAAGCAATTTATTTCAGACTGCCAAAGAAAGCTTCATTCTTTATGCACATACTCTGCTTCCCACTATTGCTTATTAGTGACTTCTAAAACAGTGACAAAACAAGAAAAAGAAGATAGAAGGGAAAAATGAGAAGTGATCACGGGAAGAAGAAAATGTGGAGGAACAAAGACACATGGTGATACTGGGGTTGGAGTTACTTTGGAACTCCAGAGTGGCATGTAACAGCCTTCTTATCCAAGTCCTGGCACAGGCCTGGTTACCTACTAAAAGGTAAGTTAGCATCTATGATGTTCCCGCTCACATACTCAGCACCCACAGTGATAACTCTTACTAAAAATTCATCTTGATGCTCATTCAAATTAGACATATATTTTAACAAAAATGGAGTGGTTGAACAAAAAGAAATGTAAAGTAAAATCTCATCACTTTTCCTGTTTTTTTCTCTTACCATGTCATTCATTCATCCTGTGGTTAGTAGCATAACTATAAACTGGAAGTTTTGCCTGCATTATTTTAAAGCAACAACTATGAAACACCAAAGTGAGGTGCTGACAAGATGCATATTTTCCAAAGAAATGTCTTTACGTTAGTCTGACTTTGATGAGAAGTTATTGTGATGGGATTAAATGTGCAACAATTTTATTAGAGGAAACGCCTGTGAGAGAGAATGGGAGAGAGCCAAGCAAGGCTGGGAGAGGATGCAAGTCTGAAACTAAGTGAAGGAGAAAGGGAGAGAAGGGTGGTGGAAGTTTCCTAGACTGCCAAATAGTCTAAGCAAGATTTAGAAAGGCTGTTGGAAATTCTCAAGCCAAAATCACCTGCCAGAGGAGTCCTTCTTTCGGGAACCAGCCTGCATTATTATCTGTGCTGCTCTCAATCACCGGCTGGAGCAACCCATGGGTGAAAATGTGGCCAGGGAATTCAGAGTGCAGCAAGCATCTGGGGCCCTTGATCGGTTTTGCTCCCTGTATTGGCAGCCACTGTCCAAGAACTGATTTTGCCACTCTTGGACCTTTCACCAGTTTCATGGGTTAAAAGATGTTGAAACAGATGAGTTTATGAGGTAAAGTTTTGGGGAGAGCCATTGTTATGCTTCCCCACTCACCTTCAAGTCTAGTGAAGGGAGCTTCAATAGCAATACTCAGAGAACTTGCGTTTTGAGAGTTACAGTAGTATTGTGAGTCACATCTGGGAAATCCCAGGGGCAGGAGAGATGGGCCAGTGAGAATTTTGGCATAGGAGTGAAGGAGAGTTGCTATGTTGGGATCGATAGTCACTGCCATAGTTTGTCAAGGCAAATGATGCCTGAGTGTTTCTTGTGCAGCAGATGTGGGCCACATGAAAAAAAGAGGAAGTTTGCCTGAGACTTTTTTGACTCTTGTGTGTGGAGAGAATCTGTATGGTATGGATTATTAGAGAAACCATAGCTGCAGATGGAGCAATAGCTGGAGGAATAGAATACATTGCCTATCTAGAGTGACCAACTTGTCCAGTGTGCCTTGGACTTTCCCTGCTTTAGTACCAAAAGTCCCAAGTCTCAGGAATCCGTGTTTGATCATGCTACATGTCATAGGAGTTGCAGCATCCAACAAACCTAAAAATCATCTGTGAGAGTGGGTCAAGTTTAAGTTTCAAGCAGGTCTAGAGTGTAAACCCAGTTTATGACCATGCCAATGTTAAAGTAGATTTTATCAGAGGATAATTGGAAAATGATGCTAAAGAAAAAACTTCTTCACACTGTTTTTTTGGATCAATCTTTTGACACAGCCAGAATACCATAGACTGAATGGCTTACACGCAGAGATTTATTTTCTCATCGTTCTGGAAGTTCAAAGTCCAAAATCAAGGTTTTGACCAATTTGCTTTCTGGTGAGGGGCATTCTTCCTGGGTTGCAGCTGGCTGCCTTCTCACAATGTCCTCATATGGCCTTTCCCCGGTACATGCTCAAGATGAGGAGGCATGGGAGAGAAACAGAGAGAACTTTCTGGTGTATCTTCTTATAAGACACTAATTCTGTCAGATCAGGGATCCACCCTTATGACCTCATTTCATCTTAATTACTTCCTTAGAGGCCCCATCTCCAAATATAGCCACAGTGGGGGTTAGGGCTTTAACATATGAATTTGAAGGGCACACAAACATTCAGTCCATCACAGAGTGTGACTCTGCAACACAGAGATACCTTTTTGGGGGAAGGGGGGTCATGAGAACATTAGGTCTGTGTTTATGTCTCACACTCTTAAGGAGGAGTTGTGCTATGGTGACTTTGCAGCCCTGTATCTTTATGAACAAATGTAAATATGATCTCTAGAGATCGTTTGTGACACTTTTAGAGCTTTTTAGACATTAATCTTGTCAAGGAAAGTTGGATACCCAGAGGACCCTGTTATTTTTGCATTCTGCAAAGCAGAAGATATCACACACTAATATTCACACTACTGAACTCATGAGGAAACCCACAACAGACTCTGTGTACATAGTGATCAGGACTTGGTCTAAGCCCTGAGGCTTGTATTTAGCTACAGGGACTTAGTAAACAGTGGAACTGTTCTGATAAGAGATATGGTTCTGCTTCTATTTATGAAAGTTGATTTTTTTTAAAGTTAACACAGGATTGGTTAATCAGGGAGTATATCCTCTTACATCTTTCTTACAAATATGAACTCAAGTAGTTGTAGGACTCCAGCTTTAAAGGCCAGTATGTTAAGAATGAATTGCTGTTAAACAAAACAAAACAAAACAAAACAAAAGACAGACATAGATTTGAGCCTCCTTTAGCATCCGCTTGATCCTTCCAGAAGGCATAGCTGTTTTTTTAATTCCTTAAGGGGCATAATAGTTGGAATTATGTTCAACTATGATGAAGTAATATAAATTTCCAAAATAAATTTATTTAAACATGACATAAACTAATTTTTTTCTTTTAAGAAGTCTAGATGAAATCAATTTAGAGTTAGTACAGTTATTCATGGTGTGAGGATTCCAGGCTCCTATCTTGTTGCTCCACTATCTGTGGTGTCCATTTTCCAAGGTCATTTCATGATCTAAGATGGCTGGTAGAGCTGTAGCCATTCCAGTGAACAGGAAAGACTAGGGAATTCAAAGAAAAGCACAGTTGTTTCATTTAAGGATGGTTCCCAAATGTTACACACAAGCTTCTGCAAGACATGTGGAAAGGGTAGTATTTTATTTTCTGGTAAGCCAGTGCCCAGCTGAAAAATTAGTTTTTATTACTCTATAACAAGGGTCAGCAAATGATGGCCAATTGGTCAGTTGCCTGTATTTGTAAATAAAATATTGGAACACAGTCATGCCCATTTTACCTGTCGTCCATGTCTACATGTTCTTTTAAACTATTTTATTGACATAATTCACATTATACAATTCACCCACTTAAAGTGTAAAATTCAGTGGCTATTAGCATTCACAGAATTATGCATCTATCACCACAATCAATTCTAAAACATTTTCATTGTCCTGAGAAATGCCACAACCTTTAGGTATCTCTCCAGTCCCCCATATCCACCACCCCAATCTTTCTGTCTCTATAGATTTGTCTACTTTGGACTTTTCATGTAAGTGGAATCATACAATAATATGGGTCTTTTGTGGCTGGCTTCTTTCACTTAGCATAATGTTCTCAAGATTCATCCATATTGTAGCATGTATCAGTACTCCATTTCTTTCTGTGGCCAAATATTCCATTATATGGATATACCACAGGGTGTTTATTCATTCATCAGTTGATGGGCATTTGGGTTGTCTCTTTCTTTTAGCTATTGTGAATAATGCTTCTATAAACATTCATGTACACATTTTTTTGTGGACCTATGTTTTCATTTCTCTTGGGTATATTCCTAGGAGTAAAATTACTGGGTCTTATGGTAAATGTACGTTTAACCTCTTTTTTTTTTTTTTTTTTTGAGACAGAGTCTCAAATGTCTGTCCATTGATGCAAAAGAACTCATGGTATTAATTTAAATGCCATATACTGGTTCTTTAGAAATCATTTCCCTCCTCCTTTAGAAATCACTTCTTCCTTCACCTAGGACAAATCACAGATAACTGCACAGGCTCTGTAAATGGTTCTAAGAAGTCTTCAGTGATGACCCTAAGAGCGTATTTGGCTCCCCTCTGGTAGATTAAATGCTACCTGTCCTGAAGAAGGCCCCCTGAGTATTAGTCTTTTTCTCCTACCGTGAGTGACATACTGTAAAAGCATTAGGCATGCAGATGTTCTACTTCTCATTGCTTTTCTAAATGTTTTATTGAGATATACCTTCTACTATAAGATGACTCATTGTTAGGCATTATTTATCAAGCAGCTATGCCAGTTATCAACTGATTGCCTCTCAGCCCCAAATTTGCCTTTTGCCTCACCAGTAAAAATGGACCTGGGTTCTTGAAATATTTCTCCTTAGCCAGTGGGCATGATGTTAATCTTCTTAAGAACTGGGAGCTGGAGAGACATTGTAGGAGGAGGAATTTTTCCTTCCTGGTCCTAGTGGCTTTTATTCTCTATTACTTGACCTCTATTCTCTATTGCTTTTATTTTCTATAGCTTGGCCTGTGTAGTTTTCTCCGGTATGAGGTACCTAAAGGAGGCAGATTTCTCTAGTGGCTACTGTGTCAATTTCTAGACTTGGGTGACAGAGGCATAGCCAGGAGAATGGCATGAATTTGTGCCTTCCCAGGTCACTGCTCTCTTTGCTCACTCCTCAGACCCACAATGTGTACATGCCCGGAGCCCTGTAAGCTGGCTGTGAGGAGCCCTGCAAGCAACCCTAACCCTGGCTCTAGTGAGCCAGCCACCCAAGCTTTGCCTATGCAGCTGCTCAGAGCTGCCCTTGTCCAAGCCACACACAGAAGCACTAGTTTCCTGTAGCTCCCAGTTCCAGCAGCATCCACAGTGGTGCTCTGTCTTGTTCTGTGCACTTGACTTCCTGCCTAACACCCACCTACCAGTTTGAGCTTGCCTGTACCCTCTGGCTTACCCAATAACTAGGCATAAATACATCTTTGCAACTTTGCATCTTCCAATTCATGAACATTGTATATTTCTCCATTTATTTCATTGTTCTTTGGTGTCTTTTACTGAAGTATTATAGTTTTCTCTACAAATATTTTACTTATTGTTTAAACATCTATTCCTAGTATTTCACATTTTAATGCTATAATAAATGGCATCATCTTTAAGTTTTTAATTTTTGACTGCTTGGAATGCAACAAATGTGTATATGTTGATTTTGTATATCCAGCAACTTTGCTA